AATTTTCTCGTTTGCACCGGAAATCCTTATACGAGAGAGCGTTACTTATGTGTCGATTTTCTGTAAAACGATTGCGTCATCCGCAACACCTACGAAGTGTGAGCATGACTGCCGGTGTTGCTAGTTTTCAGAAAAGAAATATGAAGAATTCAGTCAAAGGTTTAACAACATGCCATTGAATCGCTTCACGGCAATAAGCCAGTCTGCCGTTACCACCAGTCGGCAAGGCGGTCCCATTAGGCTGAATACAATGGACTTGAGCCGAAAACAGCCATTGACTGCCCCCCACGTTAATTCCCTAACTATCACAATACCTGTCTGATATCCAATACTGTAACTACGAGCGGCACTGGCTTCCACATCAGTGGAGACTGAATGACATTCCGTGTGTCCCCTCCCCTCCCCCCATTCACCCCCTATCCGGGATGAGGGTCGTTCCTAGCATCACCGTGCATTGATACAGTGGATCTATGGGCGAGCGATACCTGTGTGTTAGGTATACTTGGATGCGCGCGTCCTGTGGTGATTGTGCTGGCATTGATATGATTGGTGGTGGTGAAGACTAGGCTGTAATGTTATATTGACCCGGCTTGTTACCAAATCATTCGACGCTGGTTAGATTATGCAATGTACATATATGCAGGTATTGTACATGTATCTAACTTCAATAGAATGTGGTTTTTAGTTACATTTACGGCTCTTTGGCTGAGCATAAAACAGCCAAATGATGGTATCTTTTATAGGCAAAGATGTAGATAGATGTGTGGGTGTATTTGAGAAAAGATAAGTACAAAGCGACCCCGGGATGTAACAATCTTAAGTTCTGAATACGTCCTCTTTGTTCGAAAATATCAAAGCATGTCTGATATTTCACGTATGTGTGGGTGTCATCAGCCATGCTACTGTCACGTTACCCACCTGTCATTATGTAGTTTCGTGCAGTCCGTGACCTCTTGACCCTTGCCTGGCGTGTGTGTGTACTGACATATGGCAGAGCCTTCTTTGTGGCTGAGATTCCGCATTGAGGTCTTCTCAGATCTAGGGGGACCATGGAGTCTTCATGCAAGGAGCAGTCACTTAAAAACGAGAAGTTATCGACTAGAGACTCAGGTCAGTCTTTCCACCCGGACCGAAGCTATCAAACGAAATGGATTTGGGCAGTAATGTCTTGAGACCGACGTCCCAGCGGTAGTCATGAAGTTATCCCGCGCTGAAATTCTCATGAAACTCTCCAATGTCTTCTTTTGTGAGGCAGTGCCACTATCGTGGACTTTGAAGATTTTACGCTGTTTTATGCTGCGGATAGTGGCGTTTTCCCTAGCTCCGCTGCTTCTGGAAAATAAGTTGTTTTACAGCTGTGCGAAGAGATGTCATGAACGGGCATGCATCTAGGAGAATTCTGGAAAAACATTGAAATATGTCCGGGGAGAATTCTGAAAAAGTGAAATACCTACATCCGGGGGAAATGCTGGAAGAAATTAATAAATATCCGGAAGAAATTAATAAATATCCGGTTAGAATATCGGAATCTATTGAAGCAGTTGCATCCGGAGCGGAAGCTGGGAGAACTTAATGTGACGTAAGATCTGAAGAGATGTAGCTGGAACTTATACATGAATGAGAATGTTTCCTGCTTGGGGAGGCATAACGTTAGGACATGAATCGGCGAACACATCCGGACAGGCAATGTGGTAATATCTGGCCTTCATCAAGGCTCAGTTGCTTTGCCATCGCGGTCGTCGAGCCGATCTTGATCGTTTCATCTCAAAGCCAAAGCACTCATCATTCGCAGCGCCCCGCAGTTCCCCCCGAACTGCGTATGTCGCCGCCGGAGACCTGTCGGCGACACTCTGTTGCTCGTGCGGTCCCACTTCCGGTCGCCATCATTAATTCCGTAAGCCGTCTCCACCACTTGCGGTCGGAAATGTACGGCTTCCTGTGCATAGTGGACTAGATGGCGGTGAGATGTGATGGTCCCCGTAACACGGCAGAAGGGTGGAGTCTTCTACGGCATTGCTACGGAATGTTAGATTCGTGGAAATAGTCGGTCTTGTAAGGTGACAGTGGCAGTAGGTGGCCCAAAGTTATGTCCTTTTCAAACATTGTTACCCTTTGGCGAACATAAATCTGGGGAAAAACACTTTAGAATCCGGAAGCCTTGTTTTTTTTTTTTAAGTGAATTAACGGGATCAGAAATCCATGCATAAACATATACATCGAAAACCTATTTTTGAACCAATAAGAATGTTTGGCGAATAACGAGCGAACGCAATCGGAAGCAGTGCACATGTGCTCTGTGCATCTGCGAAGTTGGACCTGTCCTAAGCTGATTATGTGTGGCTCCTCTCCGACCGATCCCTTATACCGTACCAACTTTGAGAGCTAGTGGCCCAGCTGTTCTCGAGCTGTAGAAAGATATTAATCTAAAATAGGATCTTCAAAGCTTCATCAATGTACCTGGCACGCTTCAAACCAAATCTGAAAACTCAAAATGCTGAATATTTAGGTAAGTTCATTAGAATATGCTGAATATTTCAATTCCCACATGCCTGACACAAACGCTATTTATTTTATGAACCGGGGCCGGGGATGAGAGATTAGGAACGCCCTCGCAACACCTATGGGTGTTGCGAGGGCGTTGAAGAGAAGGTTATATTCGGGAACCGGTCCGTTGTTTAGTGATGCAACTGTGATTGTCATGGTTACCGCCCTCAGGTAGTGTTTCAACATCGTTCGGCTCAGTTTCTGTTGCCGCGCTGTTTTTATGGCCGAGTCATCATGCCTGATAGGTATGGGTGATGATTAACAGACAGCATGACATGTGCCGTATCGTGTTCATGTTTCTCTTTGTTGTCATGGTAACGAGAGTGGTTGTCTGCAGTTAGCATCTGGCAGAAACGTGATTTTAACCCTCGCCCATGTAGGGGGGGGGTTGGTGCAACCCCCCCCCTGAGGTTTTTCGGAAATAGTGCAAAAAACGGCGGCGCGCAGCGCCGCCAAATTTTGGGTACCTTATGGGGCAAACCTTGCGCATCTTTTGATAAAAAAAATTTGACCGGGTCATGTCAGGTCACGGAGTTATGACGTCACAAAGGGAACAGCCTCCGGCCGGATTTTCACAAACTGAGTGCCAACGCCCGAGGTTTCCTGCCGGTGGTACGGACATCGGTTGATGGATCGTGATGAAACTTCCCATGCATGTTGGGGCAAGTATTGGCTATCATATGGTATAAGAAATTGACCGGGTCAGGTCAGGTCACGGAGCTATGACGTCACAAGAGGAACAGCGTCCGGTACTATTTTTGAAAAGCGCCCGAACCACTATTTTGCTAATTCTTGTCACCTCAATGGGAATATGCAGCAATATTAGCTTCTATAGGGAGCAAATGGACCTTCCAAATCCAAAAATACAATCAGATTTCAAAAATTTAAATTTTGATTTTTCGAATTTCTGCCGCCGACTGTGACCTTGCCGACTTCCGGCGCTCCCAACGCGCCATTTTTAGAGCTAGGGAAACGAAATACATACCAAACGATAGAGAATTGATCAAGAAACACGAGAGTGAAGGTTTCAAGTCGATATCTCCCACCGTTTTGCCGCAATCGCCGCGGAAAGTTGAAAAAAATCTATTTTTCCGAAAATTTGACCTTTGACCGGTCAAAAGTAGGTCAAATGTTGACCTAGGACCAAAAAATATACCACCAATCGCGAGATCTCGGCGAGAGCAATCCGTTGGTCTTTTCCGCTAGGCTCTACGACGCTCCGTTTTCAAACGCCAAGGGGGGGTCGCACCAACCCCCCCCCCTGCATGGGCGAAGGTGGCAGATCGCCGTTTACGGGCGAGGGTTAAAGGCAGTAGTGATCCGTTTTCCTTATGGTACCAAGCGGGTGATGAGTGAATCTGATGGACCGTTTATTGGCTGATGCTATCGATTTCCTTTTAATACTCGTCCGTTAGTATATGCTGGTTTTAGGCACATTTGCCTTCTTTTACGAACTCATTTTATTGCAAAAAAAAAACTGATGTTAAAATCAGAAAGTAGAAATCATGTCTAAGACAGCTATAGGTATAACTTGTCAATCGACATACCATAGTTGAGTTCAATCAAAACTAATCACGACAAAAATTAACCAAAATGGAAGTCAAGCTCAACTTTAACCTGTTCTGGACCATGGAGCGCAACACGTAAGACTGCTGCGATATGATTCGTTGGGGTTTACCCATGCCTTGATGTCACAAGCCCTGCCGATTTTCTTTCTCCTTTTTCTCGATTTTCGCGCGGCGTCTCCGGTGCCGTTTCCCGTGTGGTCCCGACGATGTCATCCTGATCATCGATCACCTGTCACCCTGACCGATCACGTGACATAGCGGGTACCGTGTGAATGATGACCCGGTGGGGACATGTGACTGAAGCCCCGGGAATGGCCTGGACCGCCCATAACTCTCGGCAGGGGGTCTGGGCCAGGGGGAGATTGGTGGGGTGGCTGACTTGCTGAGGCTATGCTCACAGCCCAGCACCTACCAAGAGACTTTGCACAAGAGCATTGCGGTTATATGCGTACGGCCGTCCAATAAAAGATTGGCTGGTCAGGCAAAGTGTTTTTGGGATGATAACTTCGAATGACACATACATTCCAGTGACACGATTTGATAAAAATGAGAAAAGGTTTCGTGCGGATGCTTCGGCAATATATGTTAACAGCATATAGACGTGTTCATCAATGGTGATCGATTTTTGTGATGTAGACAACCAACCACTTTATCTTGGAGGGCCGTACGCCGTCTGTTGTTGTTTCCATATGCAAAAACATAACAGTTTTGTCTACCGTTTGATATTTGCATTGGTACTCGGCATGTACTTTTTACGTAACTATACGCCGGCAGACTTTGTTTCTGTCTTTTGCCTTTTGTTCATGAATCAAAACAGCCTGTCTTTTGCCTGTCTTTAGCTTGTCTTTTGTTCATGAATCAAAACAGCCTGTCTTTTGTTTGTTTCAGGCGCCAGTAACATCTCCACGAGCACGAGCAGTTTCGAGGCAGGGGTGCAGCACGACCCTAATCTGAACAGACTGGCGGTGAACATGTTCACCAAGACCGAACAGTACCTGCAGGGTGAACTGGACGCCGTTCTGGTGAGTTTGGAGAGAGTTTATGTATTGGTACGTGCAGGGTGAACTGGACGCCGTTCTGGTGAGTTTGGAGAGAGTTTATGTATTGGTACCTGCAGGGTGAACTGGACGCCGTTCTGGTGAGTTGGGATAGAGTTTATTGGTACCTGCAGGGTGAACTGGACGCCGTTCTGGTGAGTTTGGAGAGAGTTTATGTATTGGTACCTGCAGGGTGAACTGGACGCCGTTCTGGTGAGTTTGGAGAGAGTTTATGTATTGGTACCTGCAGGGTGAACTGGACGCCGTTCTGGTGAGTTTGGAGAGAGTTTATGTATTGGTACCTGCAGGGTGAACTGGACGCCGTTCTGGTGAGTTTGGAGAGAGTTTATGTATTGGTACCTGCAGGGTGAACTGGACGCCGTTCTGGTGAGTTTGGAGAGAGTTTATGTATTGGTACCTGCAGGGTCAACTGGACGCCGTTCTGGTGAGTTTGGAGAGAGTTTATGTATTGGTACCTGCAGGGTCAACTGGACGCCGTTTTGGTGAGTTTGGAGAGAGTTTATGTATTGGTACCTGCAGGGTGAACTGGACGCCGTTCTGGTGAGTTTGGAGAGAGTTTATGTATTGGTACCTGCAGGGTCAACTGGACGCCGTTTTGGTGAGTTTGGAGAGAGTTTATGTATTGGTACATGCAGGGTCAACTGGACGCCGTTTTGGTGAGTTTGGAGAGAGTTTATGTATTGGTACATGCAGGGTCAACTGGACGCCGTTTTGGTGAGTTTGGAGAGAGTTTATGTATTGGTACGTGCAGGGTGAACTGGACGCCGTTCTGGTGAGTTTGGAGAGAGTTTATGTATTGGTACCTGCAGGGTGAACTGGACGCCGTTCTGGTGAGTTTGGAGAGAGTTTATGTATTGGTACATGCAGGGTCAACTGGAAGCTGTTCTGATGAGTTTGGAGACTGACTAGAGGAGGCCGTACTTGGTGAGTTCCGTGATGTAATTGATCAAAATTGATCTTGTTCAACATCAGGATAAAACAGAGCATCCCCTCCCCGAACATCACAGACAAAAAACCTGAGGCTTACATATTACATAATTAAACTCGCGATTGAGTGCAGAAGCAGTTCGAACCAGTTTTTCACCACTAATCGGCTCAAAAGCACTGCCCCTTTCCTTTTAGTGCATTAACGCTGACATATTAATGGTCTTCAGACATAATCCTGCCTATCGACTGAGATGGAAACGTCGGTATCGTTTGTTCTGGTTCTCACCGGACTTGCGATTAAGAAACTAGTCAGCAGCATGTTTCCGTGGGCAGTAATCATCCGCTGAGAATGTTTCTATTCTGTCGATGGATGGTGTAAACATAAGGCGTGGGTTGTCAGGCCTTTCTACCTTTTCAATACACCGCGGGTGTATCAATATCAAAATATCAAAAGTATCTTACCTTTATATGCCTTTATCAAAGATCTGCACAGCATTCGCTCGTGCTGAATCGGCTCGTGGCCTTTTGATGACGAACAACGTATGGCCCGCAAGTGACAAATGTCAACGGCTAAAAAAATCGTACCTCACAGCGAGGATGAATGCTTAAGGCGCGAAACCAAAGTCCATTCAGCCATTGAAGATGGGGTTTGAATTACAATTGTCTGTTATTCGAAGAGATATTGTGACTTGAGATAGGTACCTCCGTTGTCAGAACGTTATTGTAACGCGTAGAAGTGCATTGCTTAGGCATGCCTTTAATGGGATCCGGTTGTTAACGAGCTCGTGTCGCGTTAAAATATAAAAATAAGGGAACATGAACGATAGAAATGAATGCTCAAGGGCCTCAGCAGTTTTCATTCCATTTCATTCCAGCAGTTTTTTTTGCGCGTTAGCATTCGATGGCGCGAAAAATGAAATATTTAAACCATGCCTTATATGTTTCAGTAAATGAACAGTGAAATTAACAGCATTAAAGTGACAAGCAAAAAAAAAATATTCCGACGACATTTGATTCTTGTCAATTGTTTTCGCTATAATTTCCCCGAAAATATCTATTAATTTTCACTTGAGGTTGAAAGAATACATCAAACCTCCTGGCTCCTGAATAGTTAAAAATGCAGTTCTTTCAAATGTCAACAACGGTTTTTTTTGTTACGGATATTAGCTGTCGTAGTCCCCATCATGAGTTTCGATTTTAGTTTCACAACGTTTTGGCAAGCTGCTGTTCTGGCAGCTGCCCTAAACTGCCCTTTAGTGACGTGTATTTTTTTTTTTTTTTAATTTAGCTCGAATGTTTGAATGAACGGATTGACAGAGCCGGAGTCCACGCTAAGCAGAGCTTGTTGCGTAGACCCCGACCCCTACCGTCCGATCGCGCAATTCCGGGTAACGGGAGAATTTAGATGCCAAAGTTTAACGTGCCCTTCAAAGCCGGACACGGCCTGTCCCACTCAACAGACTTCAACTGGCTGCGGCTGCTCCCACCAACCGCAGACCATCCCCGTCAGGAGTCTCATATATCGAGCGCCGGAGCGTCTCGAACCCGGGCTCTCACTACCGGGAGTCCGATGCTCTACCAACTGAGCTACGGGACAGGCATGAGCTACGGGACAGGCATTTCTTCCACAACCGCCAGTGATTTTTCCCCTGGCTGTACCCCTCCATACGTCATTTTCCGCTCACCGCACCCCTTATGACGTCATTTTCACTGCCAGGGCGAGTACCACCTGCTAACCGAGATGAACCGCCGCACAGAAGCCAAGTACCGTGAAATGCGCGACACTGGCCGGGAAACGCAGACGGCCATTGAACTCCTCAACGCCAAATACCTGGAATTGGAACCGTGTCTTAGGTAAGCACTCGCCTCTATATGTGGTGCATCCCCCTAACTGTGGTGCTTTATTGGGGTCTTCTGTTTGGGCTACCCATCCCGGCTAACGAGAATGTGTGCGGGCATGTGTTGTGAAGTGGTTGATGGATATGGCTATTTGCTAGAGATTCATTAAAATGACTTGCATGCTGTCATCGTTGATGATGACTTGACAAATTTGACGCTCGCTCACGATGCATATCTTATGTCAAGAACGAAGGTTTTAATTCCTTATTTGGGTGGGGCTTAGGGAATAGAGATTTTTACGAGACTCGTTTAAATGCAGCCATGGTCTGTTCCCGTTGCACGTGGCGAGGAGATTTGATTATTATTTAATTTATGACATCGATTAATGGCTGGGTTCTCTAGCCCGTGTGTAACAAAGTTCATCCCCAGCCCCCTGCCTTACTAACAATGTCCTTTTATGGTCCTCGTTCCTTACCTGTGACGCCTGTCCTGACCCGCTTCTGATTGGTGTTATGATATGACGTACATGTGTGACGTTTGTATGTGACGCGTGCTGAGCCGCGGTGGTCACAGCCCCCGGCCGAGTGGAGGAGTTCCGAACCATCTGGCCAACCCATCGCACCCGCGGGAGCCGCTCTCCCGTCGGGCTACTTCTAACTGTACAGTCAATTCTTGTCTCGGCTCATTTCTGAACAATATGTCGTGAAAAGTGGAAGTGTTATATTTGAGGAACGGACTAGACTATCACCGAACATTATTACACCGTGTTATGCCACTCGTGTTAGAAGTTTGTAAGAGTCGCGTCACTGAACGTGACAACAGCTGCGGAGACTTTGCCGTGGGTAACTGTGGGCGAACTGTATTTCCCTGTACCGGTATCTTGGCGGTTTACATTCGTACTAACGTTGTTTTGGTGGTACACTCGAATTTTATAAGGGCTCCTTCTCCGTCTGTGCTAATCTTGGCACCTTCTCCTATATTGTTATTGCCGATGTCTGCATATGGATTAGAGGTGCCCTTTTTCAACCCACCAGCCCGGAATGAGTGGGTAGACAAAACCCGCATGGGTTTGAGCGGGTTGCATCACCAGGAAATACCCTGGTGCGGGTTTTATGCGGGTATAAAAAATATCAGAAACTTAATAGCTAAAACAAAACAAGATTTCCTCTTGAAAATGGAAAATAAATATGCTGCAGCATGACCTAGAATACCTCACGTCCTCACATATGCAGTAAGATGTCCGGGAAAAATATGACTAGAAAGTGGAAAAGGTTTTTGGCGGCTATGCGGGTTGTTGCGGGCTGCTACCCATGAAGTTCCCCATGCGGGTAGTTGTGGGTATCTGAGGAAGGGTTGCGGGGCGGGATGGGTTACCTGGATCCCCAAAAAGGACACCTCTGATATGGATGCTGTGTTGGAAAAAGATGATATTGTTAATCCCTGTACCACCAGGTTGGCAGTAAGCGCTTTCGCCATAAAGTGCCGCGTCAGCTTCTTGAACAAAGATAGAACAGCCGGACAGGCTGAGCAGCACCCCTAACACCCATGACACATATGACGCCGAAGTATTGTAATTTGGATCTATTGTGTCATTCTGTGTTGGAGCTTTTGAACGAGGGTTTCGGTCAGCGATATATTTATCGAATATAATATTGCGTTTTCTTAGAAATTACACGGCGGAAAGGTAACTTATTGATGGCTAGATTCAGATGAAATATATCAACAAAGCAGTTATGAGTTAAAGCTTTGAGTTGAAGAGTTGAAGTTGCATTTCAAGCTTTGTTGATAGAAAATGCAATTACTGAATAGGCGTGCAAGAATAAAGGACTTCAATGTCAAAAGAACATTATATTTAAAGATGCTATCAAAAGCATGCTTATCTGTCAAAGGAGAACGAATGTGGCCTAGAACTTCCTTTCAATATTATGCAATAGTATGTACTTATTTGTTACATCCTGGCAGTGATAACAGTTGAGAAGAGTATTGCCTACATTTGGATGCAAAAGAATTATCAATTTAATATTCAACGTAACATCATAATGATTTCATACTTGATTCTGGTTATGTAATATTTGATGATATTCCTCGACGATGTACGTAACAATATGACAATGATATGTACCAATTAGTGCGTTGCTTTGTGCGCACCCGTACGCAATAAGCCAGTTTCAGGTGTTCGAGAAATAATCACCTGCTAGCGACGCATGCTCCTTTGAACGGCGAAGCGTCTTCAGCTAACGTGGCAAGCGCTCACGCGTTGGATGCATCGGTTCAATGCTAATTGCGACTAGCTGGAACTAGCAATATGCGTGCAATCTGTGCGTCGTTGCAATTTCCTTCGCCTAACCTATTGACGGTAATGATGTTTTGTGTTAATTGCGACTCAAGATCAGTCTGAGTGGGCGATCGATAATAACAGAGTACTTGAGAGGATTTGGAAATAATACATAGACCCGATTTTAATTGTCGTTTGAAGTGTCGTTTCTAGATCATGGCACGAGTGAAGTGGTAAGAGTTTGCATCCGTAGACAAAAACGAAGGACACTGGATGTAACTGGATGATTAGTTGTAAAATAATCTTGACTGGATGTCCCTCACTAAACTCCGTGCGTCAACTTCCAATATCCCATTATCTCGTCACTCGAAAGAGACAATGAACATCAGGTCTTGAGGCGTTTTCACACCAGCAATGCAACGTGACCGCTTCCAAGTAAAAGAAGAGACATATTTGCATGTGACAATTCAATTCAGACGCAACATAAGAGTGTCGGCTGCCATTTCTTAACTTTATTGCATTTCTTTTTTCATGTCCGTTGTACGAATAACCACTTTTTCTTGCATGGTCTCGTGTAAAGGTCGTTCTCCACGGTACATGTTTTGCGCGTTTTTAATGACGTTTTAACGCTTTTTTTTTGATGTTTTGCGAGTTTTTCATGATCCGGCGTTGATCTGTACCATTAAATTACACGGTGCCATCTCCACGGCGGAAGATTTGTCAAAAATCGAAAAACGCGTGGCTTCATAAAATCAAAAAACTGCAAAACTCGTAAAACGCGTCAGGTTGTGTCATGCAAAACTCGTAAAACCTTTAAAAAACGCAAAACTCTCATTTGTAAAACGCGCGATTTTATCCAAACATTTGGATCGAATGAAAGTTTTCCGGTTTTTGACAAGGCTAAGAAGGTAATCCTTCTGCTATTAATACCATTTTACGGTGAAATGGATGCAATGGAAAGTGTGGAAAGCGATGAAACGCAATTTGATTAAGCCAATTCTCATGGCAAGTACTCAGACAACCATACCAATAACTTCTGTTGCTATTCCGACGATGTGGATGTCAAATAATTACATAGTGAGTCTATGGATAACAGATATTACGATATCAGATCATTTCAGATAATTGATAAGTAACTGATGTCATAGCGGTGATAGCAATAGGGTAACGTGATGATACCCCTATAACTATCTTTAGAGCGAAAATCGAGGGGTTAATAGAAGCCGTGCGCCAGATACCTGCCCTGTGGGACAAGAGGGCCACGGCATACAGCGCACGAAGGGCGGAGAAAGATGTTCTTTCTCTGAAATTGAAATTGTTCTGAAAGACTGACACACTAAAACCGTAAAAAGCGAAAAACTCGCAAAACTCGCAAAAGCGTCTGTTAAAAAGCGAAAAAAGCGCAAAACTCTGGTTTGCTAAAACGCGTAAAAACCGAAAATGTTTACACGTGGAGACAATACTTAAAGGAAAAGGGCCACCTTCGTGAAATATGAAGATATCGTTGTTTTTCATTTTGACATTATTATTTTTCATTTTCTTTTTAAAACTGGTGCCAGAAGTGCACAATTCGCGAAAAAGTATTTAAAACTATTTAACATATTGGTACTATGTTGATACTCTCTACGGCACCTACTGTATGATGGCATAGCGATGACGTCACACTCAAGCCAATCAGCATTCAGAAGACAGACTCGTCGGATTGTGTCAGATAAGCTGATTGGTTAAAGCTGAGCTGGTTGGAGCTGATTGGTAAAAAACCAAAGCCTCGCCGCGGGTGGCTGTATTGTCGGATAAGAACGCATTCCTGGGATAAGGACGCATTCCTGGCGTATTTTCTTTTAAAATTGCCGATAACTACGAATGGAGGCCGAAATCGGCAGTAAGGAGGTAGACAGATAGGTTTTCGGACACGGGCTACAAGATGGCTATCTCAATTTCAATCCCCATGTTAAAGGTGGCCCTTTTCCTTTAACCCGCGCACCGACGGGGGTCTGCGCCAACTTAGTACCGACGGGGGGGGGGGGCGGATGACCGCCCCCCCCCCCTGAGATCTCGAGAACAAAGCAAGATAGCGACAAGCGGTAAACGGCATCGGATACGCACGGACAAGGTCTACAATTTTTACTAAGGTCATTTTCAGGTCAGGTCAAAGATGACGTCACAGGGGTCGAAAAAGTCAAAATGGCGGCGCTAGATATGGAGAGGGTTTTTCTCGAATAACTTTCGAAGTAGTCAAGATAGGAACAAACTAAGGGCATCATCGTGATCCTCTCGTCGATCCGCATCGAATGATATATATGTTGACCTCGAAAGGTCAAGGTCAAAGGTTGACCTCAGGTCACGTGACCTCGAGGTCATCATGTATATCATTCGATGCGTCTTGACGAGCTGAACACAATGAGACCATCCGCGCGGCTGTATCTTGTTCCTGTTAGGAGTTATTGGTAAAAAACCTTTGGTGACCTTTGATGACGTCACATGACCTTACAGCTGCCCAACAGCAAAACAGACCTCAAGGTAGTGAAGGTTGATCGTATGTGAAGTCATGTATGGTATATGGGGCCATTCCGACCCGTTTTAGTGGTAAAAACAGGGAGTTGATTTTTCCCCCATTGACTTATAATGGGGAGGTCGCGAAATTGACCTGACCTTAGGTCACCGACATCAAAATTCCGAGATATACAAATTGTAGCTACTAATGACCTAATAACATCCTGCGACTTTCAAAGGCCTCCGA